GGGACAGGGGCTTGAAAAAACATAGATTTTAGAAGTATATATTAGAGGTGCCTGGGTGGCTCAGTGGGTTAAGCCTCTGCCCTCAGCTCAGGTCATGCTCTCAGGGTCCTGTGATTGAGCCCTGCATCGGGCTCTCTGCTAGGCGGGGAGCCTGCTTCTCACCCCCCATCTCTGCCTGCCTCTCTGCCTACTTGTGATCTCTGTCAAATAAATAAAAATCTTAAAAAAAAAGTATATATTAAAGAGTGTTAACAGTGGTTAACTCATGGAAATGGAACTTTTATTTTCATTTTATGTCCTCTATTACTAGAATTTTTAAAATATAAACTACTAGTATTGTTCTATAATAATTGCACTTTTAATAACTAATTTAAAAAGATAATAGTAGGATCCATTGTAGTAAATCTGTGGTAGATCTGGGCATCTCTCTCTATCTATATATCTATGTAGATTTTACATTTTTATTTATTTATTTGACAGAGAGAGCGATCACACGCAGGAGGAGCAGCAGAAGGAGAGGGAGAAGCAGGCTTCCCGATGAGCAGGGAGCCCAATGCAGGACTCTGTCCTGGACCCTGGGATCCTGACCTGAGCCGAAGGCAGATGTTTAACCAACTGAGCCACCCAAGCTGCCCCCAGATGTGTTTGGGAACACTTCTTGCTTCCTTCTTCTCTTGGATTTTCTTTGTGTCATTTGTTTTCTCATTTACCTAGTTTTTAAATTGGTTTTTAAAAATTGCTTGTAAAAATAATTTGAGAGCTAAGAGAGTATCATGTCCTTTTAGAGAGGATTTCCTGGTACCTGAGGCCACTGGCACTGTGGAATCACTCGTATAGATTAAGATTCAGATCAGAGCAGCAGCCCCATGTGTGGTTATAATTTAAGTGCAGTATCTGGGGTCCCGCACACAAGAATGAGCACATTTACCAGCACTAACCCCCACCTTGGCAGTATCCAGAATCCATTTTTTTTTCCCTCTGTGAACCTATCAAAATTACAACTCACCCTCTTAGGTACCCCTTCCAGAATCAAAAGACGACCAAAGAAGAGATAATCTCCTTCAATACACATTTTCTTCTTGCCCATAATTTTACTCTTGAATTAGTTCTTTGGTATTTGCCCAGCATTCTCACTTCTCAGTGGGAGAATAGGTCTCTATTACTTTGTTGCCATTATTGGAAGCAAAATTCTGGATGCATGTTTCTGCAGGGTGAATAGTTATTAGGTGATTTCTGTTCCAACTCCTATTTTAACATTCTAACTTAAGAGGACATTTACATATAACTGATTTGATTAAATGTTCTTCAAAAAGATGAGAATATACCGCAGGTACTGTTTCCTAAGAAACCATGGACTTGGAGGTTAGAACTGATCTGTCATAACGCTCAGAGTCTGGTAGTTTATCTCATGCTGTAGGTTTAAGTCAGACAACTTCAGCATGTCATTCAGCAATTTAAGTCTACATCTTTCCTAAAATGTGGGCACTGCTTTAAGTCCTTGGTTTTTAGGAGTATCTGGGTGGAGGGAGAGGGGAACTGCCTATCATAAAAGGTTTTCATCTGGGGCTCAGCCAGGTGTGGCTGAAGGATGCTCTAGGCTGAGAGGCAGACTGTGCCAAGAATGTTCCTCTTCTTTTCTCAAACATCAAGATTTCTGGGAGGTACTAATATATACCCCAAGTTTAACTTGTTCAAAAATTAATTGGTAATTAATTACTCACCACTAAGGCTACTCCATTCTTCCAGTTATTCAACGCCATTTCTCATTCTTGCCTTTTCCTTTTCCCTTGATTTTATTCGTTTTCTCATTGAAGACCATTGGCGTGGCCTTCAATGTGTAACCAGGACCCATCACTTCTCATCACCTCTGCTTATCACCTTTGTCCAAGTCACTGTAAGTTTCTGCCTAGATTACCTTGATAGCTCTTAACTGTTCCAATTTCCACTCTTGTCCCTGTATACTCTTCACAAGGCAGCTAGAAGAATCCTTTCAAAGCCTAAGACAGATCGTGCCACATCTTTGCTCAAAATCCTGCAATAAGCTTTCCATTTCACTCAGGGTAAAAACCACTGTCTCTAAATTGGCCTACAAGCTTATTGCTATGGCCCTCTCTATCTCTGCCCTTGTCTCCTCCTGCTCTTTCTCATTGGCTGAGCTGTTCCTCCAATGTCAGCACCTTTGCATCTGCTACACTCCCTTTCTGGGATGTTCTTAGAAAATATTTTATTTCCCCTTTACCCATAGCATGATCTAGTATGTAGCTCTTATGATCATAGTGCATTTTAAGCAGCAGAATCAAGTTTTGCACCACCAGATCCTGATAAGTCTTATTTTTGAAGTTTCATTTTACTCCTATCTTAGAGCTCTGCTCACCCTAAGCTGCCACCAGATAAGAAGGTGCCTACCTGGTTTGGAAGTCTGCAGCTCTTGAAAACCCATGTGGAAAAGGTGACATCACAATCAGATTAAGATGCCAGATTGGGGGGGGGGGGCTCGGTGGCTCAGGCATTAAGCATCTGCCTTTGGCTCAGATCATGATCCCAGGGTCCTGAGATCTAGTCCCACATTAGGCTCCCTGCTCTGCTTCTCCCTCTCCCACTTACCCTCCTTGTATTCCCTCTCTCGCTGTGTCTGTCAAATAAAATCTTAAATTAAAAAAAAAAAAAGATGCCAGATAGGTCCCTTAGTTCATAAGGAACAGGAACCATTACATGCTACTGAGATTTACACTGTGCATAACCTGTGGCTTAGCACTTTCGCTCCTATGTTCCCCAGAAAAACACTCCCAAAGGTGTTCATAGCAAAAGTTGGTTAAAACCCTAAATAGCTTTCATTAAAAGAATGAACAAATGACTAAGTAAGCACTAAGCAGTTAAAGGATTGTACCAGCACTAAGCAGTTAAAGGATTGGACCTGCATATATTAATGGATTCATAATTAAGTGATTTCAAAAAGCAGAATGGCATAAAATGAGATAGAACACACCAGTTTTTAAAGTAAGTGTGCCTGCAGGAGATTGGGATGGGGGTAGAGATAAAAGTAAAATGTATAAAAACAAAAGTAAAGCCACACACAGACCAATGATTATGATGCACCATGAACTGAGTTCATAACAAATCCACAATGAGTACCCAAGATTATTTGTGGACCAGGCCTGAGAAGGGGCACATCCTGCGACAAACTATTAGAGCTCCCTCTTCAGGCTGACTTGATAACAACCCACACACAGAAGCCTTAAAGCAGTCCTCCAATGAGAATCCGTTCCAAGCCTTCTATCACTCACTATTCCACATATCAGACACATAAAAGCAAATAAGGTAAATATGGTCGTTTAGCAAATCACAAGTTCACATGGCCCACCAACACTTCTATTTTTCTCTTCCCAAAGGGACAGAAAATTCTGCGAAATGATTTTACCTAACCACAAGTATTTGCAGCATTTCCCAGTGTTAGGGTCCGTGATCAAAGGAACAAGACTGACACAAAGTGAAAATCAAACAAAGCTTTATTTCATGCCAAGCATCAAAAATCAAACTGACTGGTAGGGGCCATCTCTTATGAAGAGATGACGACGATGACCCTGACAAGGTCACTCCCAAGAAGGCCGCTCCGGATGAGGCCGCTCTGCAGAAGAGGCCACTCTCCGGTCGGAGCCTCTCCCAAGAGGCCACTCTGGACAAGGCTGCTCCCAGAATGAGGCAGCTGCTGACGAGGTCGCTCCCCAGACAGGGCCGTTCCCTGGACAGGAGCTGCTCCAGCGAGGCCGCTCCCAAGAAGAGGCCACTCTGGACGAGGCCGCTCCCAAAGACAAAGAGGCAATGACGGCAGCGACGATGACAAGGAGGACATCAACCCCAATGACACAGACTCTGCTCCCCATGACGCCGCTCTGACAAGGCTGCTCCCCAGAGGAGGCCCCCGCTCCGGATGTGGCCGCTCGCCAACGAGGCCGCTCCCCGGAAGGCCGCCGCTCTGGTGAGGCCACGGTTCCCGGCGGCGAGGCCGCTCCCGGCCGGGCCCAGGCTCGGGGCGGCAAGGCCCCTCACGGTGGGGCTGCGGCGGCTCAGTGCGACAAGGCAGCTCGCGGCGGGGGGGGGGGGGGGGGGGGGGCGGCAAGGCCGTTCACGGCGAGGCTGCTGGCGGCTAGGCCACTGGTGGCTCTGGTGTTTCTGCTACTCCTCAGCCTCGAAAACTAACCTTTATAGGGGTGGTTGAGCCCCGCCCACACACAGGTGGCCAATGGGATTTAAACTCACCTCAGTAAATATATGCGCGCCCCACTGATTGTGGGTGTTTTCACCTGGCCTGACCCGCCCTTGTATCTAGGCTTTACAAGTAAGTTCCTCTGGGAGGGGCAGGGTCAATCTAAGTTCACTGCATAGGGTCAATCTAAGTTCACTACATAAACACAAAATGACTCCCTCTGGCCAACCAGGCCCTTACACCCAGATCTATGAACACTATAAAAATAAAAGGGAGTAAGTATGGTAGAAATGGTATACTTGTTGCATCAGAGGAATCAATGTCAAAATCACTCTTAGAAAAACAATTTTAATTAGCATCATGAATTCCAAACTAAAAAATGTAATATATGATTCAATCACCAAAGATTGTGAATAGTTATAAAGACTTCTCCCCATTCTCTACCTTTACTACAGAAAATGAAAGCTAACTGTGCCAAAAGAGTTAAATACCCATGGAGATCTGCCATAGATATGTATCAGTTCAACTCGCCCATGCAGTGACCTGACAAAGTCTCTAATAACACTTGTCTTCAATTCCATAAAAAAATGCTAAAGTGACTGTTGCAATTGGGTCAATTCTCTTTTTTTAAGTGATGTCTACACCCAATGTGGGACTTGAACTCACAACCCTGAGATCAAGAGTCAAACTCTTCTAACTGAGCCAGCCAGGTGCCCCAGTTGGGTTTTTTCTTAATGGTGATGTTTAATGTTTAAAAAAAAATCCTGGGCCTTTACCACATTATTTCACAATTGACATTTATATTTGTTTTGTATTCTCTGATGTCTGGTAAGAGACAAGTTCATTGAAAGGTTTTCCCACACTCGTCCCACGCATAAGGCTCCTCTCTAATGCAGACCAGTGTTTGGTAAGATCTGAACTATGAAGGCTTTTCTGGATCACTTACACTCACAGAACTTTTCTCTGTATGGCATCTTTGATACACTTTTAGAATTGAGCTAATGCTGAAAGTGTCCCCAGAGCAGTCGCACATCAGGGTTTTGCTCTGGTGTGGATTTACCAATACAGAAGACTGATTTTAGTGAAGGCCTTCCCACATTTTTATATTTATGGGTTTTGTGGTAACAAGCACTCTTTCTAAATGAAGACCTCCCTACTTGCTCCTGTCCAAAGTGAACTTATATTTAATGAGACTTGAGCTCACAAGGAATGTTTACAAACTGAAGGTATTCCCAACAGTTCTCTGGTATCTGACAAGACCAGTCTGGTACCTGAGGTCTTCGCCACACTCTTTACTCCGCTGGGACTCTTCTTTGGGATGGCTTCTCTGTTGTGTAGTGAAATGGGACTTGGCTTTACACTGAAGGTCCTTCCAGACTGTGATGACTCGTAGGGTCTCCTCAGATCTGGACATGCTGGTGCTTGCATGCAGACTGCTGGTGTTCCAGGGTTTGTATTATTAGAGACAGACACTTGAGATCACTCATTTTACTAAACAGCTGCTTCTTTTATTAGTTTATTACAAGTTGAAACTGTACGCAAGGTGAAGGGAGAATTTCCCACTTCCAGAGCAGGGACAGAAGTAAACTTCAGAGCAAGTTCTCCCAAGTGCCTTAGGTCTCTTTCTCAGAGAGATACTCTGCTTGGCTTGAAGCAATATAACCTGTGATTCTTCAAAGAGGCTCCTCCCTCACTTGGTGATGAACTTCTGCAAAACTCTGCTTTGAAATGGAACCTTGTTTACGGCCAGGAGTCACCGTCTGAAAGAACAGGTTGATCATGAAATTAGCATCTTTTTCCCTAGAGGCAGAAAGAAGTCAAACATAACAAATCAGAGTAGCCTACAGAGAGAAATCACCTAAAACATGGATTTTTATATGTGGAAGTTCTAAGTAAGGATATATACTTGCTTTTTCATTAATTTCTGCTCTTTAGTATTTTCTTCTTTTTCCTTTGGGTTATTTTCCTGTGTGTGTTTTATTTTTTAAAGTAATCTGTACACCCAAGATGGGGCTCCAAGATCAAGGGTCACATGCTCCTCTGAGCCACCAGGAGCTCCTTTTCCCGTGTTTTGTTTGTTTGTTTGTTTTTGGCTTCCAACAAAAGATAGTTATTCTCTCACAGTTCTGGAGGCTAGAAGTCCCTTTTTCCATGTTTTAAAAGTTCTCAAAAATGGATGTTTAGAGCATTTTCTTCAGCTTTTCTTCTTTTCTGTAGCATCTGTATTTTTAAAAAAAAGATTTTATTTATTTACTTGACAGAGAGAGACACAGCGAGAGAGTGAAGACAAGCAGGGGGAGTGGGAGAGGGAGAAGCAGGCCTCCCGCTAAGCAGGGAGCCAGATGTGGGGCTCGATCCCAGGACCCTGGGATTATTATCTGAGCCGAAGGCAGACACCCAACGACTGAGCCACCCAGGTGCCCCAGCATCTGTATTTTTTTTTTTTAAGATTTTATTTATTTATTTGAGAGAAAGACAGTGAGAGAGAGCGTGAGAGGGGAGAAGATCAGAGGGAGAAGCAGACTCCCCATGGAGCTGGGAGCCTGATGCGGGACTTGATCCTGGGACTCCAGGATCGTGACCTGAGCCAAAGTCCGTTGCTTAACCAACTGAGCCACCCAGGCGCCCAACCTGCATCTGTATTTTTAAATGAAATAATTAACCTAAGGAACTTGAAAAAGCACCTGGCACAGACTAGGTCTCAATAAATGGAAGCTACTACTATGAGTACATCACTTTACTTTACTTTACTCCTGTAAAGCAGGAGAAGTAGAATAGGAGGAAGGTACTGGGAAGGAGACATATTTATTCAAGATCTCCTGTGAACATAACATGTAAAACAGATTAAAGGGGCCATCACATCTACGAAGCATTTTACTCTCTCTCTGGAGAGATTATAAAAATCTCAAAGCTGCAAGGAATATTAGAGAATATTTGGCCTGTCTCCTTTATTTTTAAGGATGCAGACACTGAGGCCCAGCTAGGTGGTATGAGTCTCGTCTAATAGAGTTACTTAGAGGTTAAAAACAGGTTGAAACCAAGGGCTCCTGGATCTCATGGGGCTCTTGGATCTCGCCTTTAAAGATTTTACCAGTGTACTACACTGGCTCTTAGAGGCCACTGTGGTACATAAACACCTTTATATTAAAACTCATATTACAGTTAGCTGTTAAGAGAACAGACTGTCAGGTTAGACTTCTGGTTTCAATTCCTGGTTTGATCATTTCCTAGCTGAATGACCAAGTTTTTTAATGTCTCTGTTCCTCATTTTCTTCAGCTGTAAAATGGGAGTATAGTAGTATGTATCTCATATCATTGTTTTTTGTTGAGGAAAAAATATACATAAGGCACTCAGAAAAAGCCCTGACACAGATAGCATTCCATAAACATTGGCCATCATGGTAGATATACTATCTCCAGGTAAATTACATTATTTTTTTCTTAGTTACTCATTGCCATCTTTGTAATTAATGAGTTTGCCCCCACCATATAGTTAAGAAGGCTGGTCATCTGACCCACTTTGGCTAATGAACTCTAAGTGGAAACCACATACCCTCCTCCTGAGTATATGCTGTAGAAGCCGTCGTGTGGCCCTACCATTGCTTTTCTTTTCCTCCTCAAGCCTGGATCCTGAAGTGGAGAGAATGTATCGCGGAGCTGCCACTGACCCACAGCCGACACATAACATAAACAAGAGTATGTTTCGTGCTGTAAGTAACCGAGATTTGGGGCAGTAGCAGAGCAGGGCAGGGGAGGGAGGCGGTGTTGATTACATAATACAAATCTAGTTGGTCATAAGTAGCCCAAGCCAACTTGTACAATCTCACAGCCCTTCACTGCGCCAGCTGCCAGGTGTGACCGTGGTCCGTTAACACAGGCAAACAGGAACATAACAGCTAAGCCTTTCATCGCTTATGCACTGCCGTCAGCAGGACGTTCGACAAGAGAAAGTGCCAGTGACTGCAGTGTTCCCGTCTACCCACCAACAGTGCTAGGCGAGGGTTAGGTGGATCAGCACACGTGTGGGACCGTGTGATTGCCAAGAGAGCACTTAACAAAAGGGTCCAGTCATTTTATGGACCTGGCGGCCAAGAGGAAGAAGAGGGGGAAAGGCTGGGAGTGGAAAAGTACTGAATACTGAGTTAGAGCTGGGAAAGTGTCTTCAAGTTCCTTCTACCCCAAGAAGAGAGTCTTGGCAGAGCTGCTTGAGCAAGGCACCAGGGACGGGCCTCCAGATGGAGCTGCCTGGGCTAGCAGGACAGAGATGCCCAAGAGCACCACTGTCCCGGCAGTCCTGAATCCTTGCGTGCAACTCAGACTGCATGCACGAGCTGTGCCTCCGAGTCTAGTGCGGGATGGCAGCTTACCCCTACAAGGGGCAAAGCATTTCTAATAGCCTATAATCAGGTCTAAAAAATCACACACAGAAATGGAGCCAGACTCCTCAGGTAAGATGATTGGTTCCACCGAATACCTAAGCATAATGTAAAGGTACAGTGATTAGGAAAAAGTGATACTCATGCAAGGAAAGGCAAATAAACCAATGGAACATAACAGAGAACCAGAAACAGATCTATGTGTATACAGACTATTGATAGAAGACAAATGAGCACTGTACAACAGTGGGGAAAAGACAGTCTTTCCAATAAGTGATGCAAGATAAACTGGATATTCACGTGGGAAAAGAATGAAATTTAAGTACCTCATTCATACATAAAATCAATTTCAGCTGAATCACTATACTGTATACCTGGAACAAATATAACACTGTATGTTAAATACAATGTGATTAAAATTTTTAAAAATAAATTTTAAATGGATTATAGATATAAATGGAAAGGCAAAACTGTATGACCTTCTTTTTTTTAAATTTTATTTATTTATTTGACACAGAAAGAGAGAAAGAGATCACAAGCAGGCAGAGATGCAGGCAGAGAGAAAGGAGGAAGCAGACTCCCTGCTGAGCAGAGAGCCTGATGTGGGCCTCGGACCCAAGACCCTGAGATCATGACCTGAGCCAAAGGCAGAGGCTTAACCCACTGAGCCACCCCGGCGCCCTGTATGACTTTTTAAAAAAAGATTTTATTTATTTGAGGGGAAGAGAGCGAGAGAGAGAGAGCACGAGTTGGAGGGAGGGGCAGAGGAAGAAGCAGACTCCCCACTGACAAGGGAGCCTGATGCAGGACTCCATCCCAGGACCCTGAGATCATGACCTGAGCTGAAGGCAGGCCCTTATTTGGCTAAGCCACCCAGGTGCCCCCAAACTGTAAGACTTTTAAAGAGTAGGGGTGCTGGGTGGCTCAGTGGGTTAAGCCTCTGCCTTCGGCTCGGGTCATGATCTCGGGGACCTGGGATCGGGCCCCACATCGGGCCCTCTGCTCGGCGGGGAGCCTGCTTCCTCCTCTCTCTGCCTGTCTTTCTGCCTACTTGTGATCTCTCTCTGTCAAATAAATAAAATAAAATCGTAAGAAAAAAAAAGAGTAAATATAGATTAACCTCATGAACTCAAGGCAGAGAAAGAATTCTTCAAAAGACATACCAAACAAAAAGACACTAAGAAAAAGATAGGTAAATGGGACTATACTTAATTTAAGAAACTAATGCTCATTAAAAGGCATGATTATTAAGAAAACTGAAAGGCAAGCCATAGAGTTGGACAGGGTATTTGCATTTTCTGTGAAAGGGACTCATATTAATAATATGTAAATAATTCCTACAACATGTGCAGGAATCTATAAATGAACTTTCCATAAAGAACCCCAAACAACCAACAGGCACACAGTGAGCTTGTCTGCTCTGTGTCCAAGAGATGGGACCTCATCTCGTAAGACTTTCAAGGGCATAAACAACACCAACAAGTGGCCTGCGTCAGAGTGCGGCCCAGGTAGAGCAGGACACGCAGGAGTGCGAGCGGCCCAGTGAGGGCTCTCTCCCAACAATGGCAGAGTTACAAGGAAAATGCACTTCTCACTGCATTTCAACACTAGCCCAGAGAGGCTGTTTCACACTTTCAAGCATAAATAACAAGGAATCTCATGGTCTGGTCCACAGCTGTCTCCAGTGTGATCTGTCACTATTTCCCTATGGTACTCTATAACCAGGGAAAACCTCCCTCATTTCCCCCAGACACATACTTTTTCTTTTTTTTAAAGATTATATTTAATTATTTGAGAGAGAGAGAGCACATGAGTGGGGGAGGAGCAGAGGGAGAGGGAGAAGCAGACTCCCTGTTGATCAGGGAGACCGACGCGGGGGTCTCCAGGGCCCCAGGATCATGACCTGAGCTAAAGGCAGATGCTCAACCAACTGAGCCACCCAGGCGCCCCCAGACACATACCTTTTAGCATGTGATTCCCAGTATACCTTCCTTCATCCCTTTTCCTGTGGCTGGAAAACTCTTCCTAGAGTTTTCCTCTTCCTCCAACATTTCTTCCTTCTCTGAGACCTTACCAGCCCTTCCACAAGTGGCTGTTACATCTTCAGTGCCAAGCCCTTTGTACAAACCTAGTGGCTTTATCACTGCAATTGCTGTTTTCATCCGCTCTCTTCTCCCTGTCCCCAGTCAGACTTTAAGGCCTAGGAGAATAGGGAGCTTTTTTCATTTATCTTTGTATTCCTAGTGCCTGGCAGAAGGCCCAGCCCACAAGAGATGATCATTAATACCTTAATTTGAGCTCATAAGAAGTAACCATGTTACATGAATCCTGATCTCCTAACACTATGCTCGTCAGTAAAACAATTTTTTTTTTCCCCTCCAGAATGTCTGCCCCTTCAAAGTCTTCAGAATACTCACCAATTAGTGCTTGGGATTCAGCTGTGCTGGTTTGGGGTGGGATGTGGCATCTCTTCAGTGCTGATCCCAGAAGAGTCTGCCTGCAAAGCTCCATCCTAGGGACAAACTAAGACAGCTGGGGCCAAAGAGGTAAACACTAAAAACACGGATAACAATACAGAAATAGGGTGGCAGGGAACTCTCTCTAGGGCGCAGGAAGGAGCAACCAGTCTCCTTCAACTGTCAAAAGGCAGCAAGAAGGGCAGAGGAATTCATACTCTCAAATCCTAGGGTTTTGCCGAGGCCCTCAATTTCTGCCTCTAAGTATGTACCTTACTCCCTCTTGCGTGCCCCATGCCCCAGGTGAGGTCCTGTCTCAATTTGAGCACCATAACCATGACCTTCTCTGTGTTTGGCCCCTGTGTCCATGCCTACAGCTACCTGAGCAGAGGGGTAAGCACTACCTCAGTATCGGAGACTCCGTGACATGCTTTTCCATATGCATCTCAGACTTCAGTGCTTGGCAGCACAAGCTGGTACAAAGCTTCACGGACCCCAGCGTGTCTATGGGCTGAGTGGCCGGAAGGGCGGATGAGAAATTCTGGAAACTGCGCATTCCTGTACAGCACAGTCATCCTACTCTGAGGAGTGAACACCATTTCACCTTCCCAGAGAATGTTTCCTTCTGCCTATCTACACTGTGGACCAAAGCAATCTGCAAGTTCTATTAATTTGGTGTTCATCTTCAACTGCACGTGATTTAGCTTCAAGGATCAAAAGAATTTCAGGCCTGTTACCCAGGAGTTAGAAATCACTTCCTACCACTTCTCGAGTCCACCACACTCCGTGTTGTTAGCAGGCATCAAACTTCAAGGAGTCACTCAAACAGATCCTTGAAAGTCACCCTACAACCAATGCCAACTCAGCTCAACAACAGCTCCCGAGTCTGTCCATCCTCACACCTCCTGAATCTGCAGATGCCATACCGCACTCTGAGAAACACCAAATATAAGGGTTTGGAGCACCTGATGCGTCTAGAGGCTTTTTGTTTTTGTTTTGTTTGTTTTGGTTCAGGAAGCTCAGTCAAGTTTAGGGGGCTTATCGGATCAGTAAGTCGAAAGGCCTGGGACTTCGCTGGTGAAGAAAGAATGACCCTGAAGAATTATCGACTGGATTCCTACCTAAAAAGAGGCAGTCTATCTTCTGCGGAGGAAGTTACTAACACACCTATCTAATTACTCCTGAGAGAACAGAGGTACATCCAAGGCAAAGGAAGGAAAATCAATTGGTTAGTATTTCCAGATACAACGAGAATATGTGGTTCCTGTCCCACCAATCAACACAACTTCCAATTTCAAAACTTAATCAGTTTTACCCATGATACTAGTAGCAACAATAACAAAGGCTTGTACACGAGAAAAACAAAGACAGTGGTTCAATTACTGACGTCTGCTCTTACTAAGCCAAAGTAAACTACATTATGGTATATGTTTAAATGGCTTTACCTTATGAGTTGTAAAGTGGCAATCTCAGAAGCAGATGTGATTTTAGAACTTTAGTTACCATTCTGGAGTTATTTCCACTGACTTCTCACTTTAATATTCTGAGGGACCAAGTATCAATTAAATTTTTACCATACCCTTCTTTTGGTGTTAAATTCTGATTTAAAAAAAAAAAAGGCCTTTGAATATCTTCACCATATAAATCACTGCGGACACTTTCCTTTGGTATGTATTTTCTGGTGTTTAGTAAGATTAGAACTCCCACGGAAGGCTTTCCCACACTCCTCACACTCATACGGCTTCTCTCCAGTGTGGATTCTCTGGTGATGGATGAGGGTGGAGATTTGGCTGAAGGCTTTCCTGCATTCTCCACACTCATAGGGCTTTTCTCCAGAGTGAATCCTCTGATGATTGATAAGGGCAGAGTTCACGTAGAAGGCCTTCCCACACTCCTTACACTCATACGGCTTCTCTCCTGTATGGATTCTCTGATGTTTGATGAGGGCTGAGCTCACGCTGAAGGCTTTCCCACACTCAACACACTCATAGGGCTTTTCACCAGAGTGTATTCTCTGATGCTTGATAAGGTCTGAGCTCACACTAAAGGCTTTGCCACACTCATTACACTCATAGGGTTTCTCCCCATTGTGGATTCTCTGGTGGATGATCAGGTGTGCCCTCACACTGAAGCCTTTCCTGCACTCATTACAAGTATAGGGCTTCTCGCCGGTGTGGGTTCTTTCATGCACTGTGAGGGTTGAGCGCACACTGAAGGCTTTTCCACAGTGATCACACTCATAGGGTTTCTCTCCAGTGTGGATTCTCCGATGTCGAACAAGGCCTGAGCTCTGAGCAAACTTCTTTCCACATTCACATGTGTGCCGTCTTCCTTCTGTGGGCCTGTCCTCATGCTTTTGTACCTGGTTTGTACACTGGGAAGTTTTTTCATACTCGGGAATCTGTAATGTATCCCTATTATATATGCTGGCGATCTGCTGGTGTGGGTCCATCCTTACAAAAATCTTCCCTTCAGAATTGCCACCTTATTCATACCACTGGCCTTGATTCCTGAAATAATAACAAACAGACTTTCAAATCGTATTTATTCCCTGCTGCTAAAGCAATAAGACAGGATACAGACTTACTTAGAACTCTCAAACATGTTTGATTAACCCAGGACACACCACTTGTATGACAATCAGATCAGATGTTTTATTTAGTCTGTACGTTGTAACATATCACAAAACTAACAGAATGAACATCTGACTCAAACGTCTATTTAAATTCTACCCTTTATAAAGGTACCTAAAGCACAGAATCTGGAATATAAATGAATATAAAAATAATACATAGTTCCTACTTACAGAGACTTTCTATCATATTTAACTAAATTGGGACACAAGACAGGAATTGAAGAGATTTGTGAACAGTAGAGCAGATGAAGAAGTATTCAAATATCCAGTGGGAAAAAGATAATCTCTTCAACAAATGATGTTGGGAAAATTGGAGAGTCACATGCAAAAGAATGAAACTGGACCACTTCCTTACACTGCACACAAAAATACATTCAAAATGGACGAAAGCTCTAAATGTGAGATAGGAAACCGTCAAAAGCCTAGAGGAGAACACAGGCGGTAACTTCTTTGATATTGGCAGTAACTACTTCTTACTAGATATGTTTCCTGAGGCAAGGGAAACAAAAGCAAAAATAAACTATTGGGACTACATCAAAGAAAAAGCTTCTGCACAGCAAAGGAAGCAATCTACAAAGCTAAAAGGTAAGCTATGGAATGGGAGAATATATTTGCAAATGCCATATCAGATAAACAGCTAGTAACCACAATCTTTAGAGAACTTACACAACAGCAACAAAATAATCCAATTAAAAAAATGGACAGAAGACATGCTTGGGTGGCTCAGTGGGTTAAGCATCTGCCTTTGGCTCAGGTCATGATCTCAGCATCCTGGGGTTAAGCCCTGCATCAGGCCCCCTGCTCAGTAGGAAGTCTCCTTCTCCCTCTCCCTTTGCCTCCCCCTCCCCCCCAGTTCCTGCTCTCTCCCTTGAATACATGAAATCTTAAAAAAAAAATTAGAACTGAAAAAAAAAAAAAAAGATACATATGTGGCCAACAGACACATGAAAAGATGCTCAAGGGCTCTGGGGTGGTGTAGTCAGTTAAGGGTCTGACTCTTGGTTTTGGTTCAGGTCCTGATCTCAGTGTCATAATATTGAGCCCTGGATTGGGCTCCTGGCTCAGTGTGGATTTTGCTTGAGATTCTCTCTCCCACTGCCCCTACTCCTTGTGCTCTCGTTCTAAAATAAACAAATAAATCTTAAAAAAGAAAAAAAAAAGATGCTCAACATCACTCATCATCAGGGAAATGCAAATCAAACCCACAATGAGATACCACCTCACACCAGTCAGAACGGCTAAAATTAACACGTCAGGAAACAACAAAGGTTAATGAGGATACAGAGAAAGGGGGCCCCTCCTACACTGCTGGTGGTGCAACCACTCTGGAAAACAGTATGGAGGTTCCTCACCAAGTTGACAATAGAGCTCCCCTACGACTCAGCAATCACACTGCTAGGTATTTACCTGGAGAATACAAAAACACTGAGTCAAAGAGATACATGCACCCCGATGTTTACAGCAGCATCATCTCCAACAGCCAGAGTATGGAGCCCAAATGGCCACTGACTGATGAATGGGTAAAGAAGAAATGGTGTGTATATATACACAATGGAATATTACTCAGCCAGAAGATGAACAAAATCTCACCAATTGCAGGGGCGCCTGGGTGGCTCAGTGGGTTAAAGCCTCTGCCTTCAGCTCAGGTCATGATCCCAGGGTCCTGGGATCGAGCCCCAAGTCGGGCTCTCTGCTCCGCAGGGAGCCTGCTTCCTCCCCTCTCTCTCTCTGCCTGCCTCTCTGCCTACTTGTGATCTCTCTCTCTCTCTCAAATAAATAAAATCTTAAAAAAAAAAATCGCCAATTGCAACTTCATGGATGGAACTAGAGAAGTGGAGAGAAATACAAATACTGTATGATTTCACTCATATGTGGAAGTTAAGAAATATAAAACAAAGGGAAGATAAGAGAAAGACAAATCGAGAAACAGACTCTTTATTACAGAGAACACAATGATGGTTACCAGAGGAGGGGGTGGGGAGATGGGTTAAACAGGTGATGGGGATTAAAGAGTGCATTTGTCATGATGAGCACCTGAAGATGTACAGAATCGTGGAATCAATCTTATACACCTGAAACTATTATAATACTGTATGTTAATTAGCTGGAATTAAAAAAACTAAAAATTTAAAAAATGAGTGTGTTTTTGAATAGGCTAATATACCTGTTGGAAAGTCAAAATGCTCTAAAAAGACAATTAGAAAGTCTTGTTTCCACCACGATCCTCCTCAGTTTACCACCCAAGCAGTAAACATTTTTATTAGTTTGTTGTGACTTTGAATGTTTCTTTATATAAACATGTATTTTTAAAAAATATTTTATTTATTTATTTGACAGAGAGAGACACCGCGAGAGAGGGAACACAAGCAGGGGAAGTGGGAGAGGGAGAAGCAGGCTCCCCACTGAGCAGGGAGCCCAACTTGGGGCTCGATCCCCGGACCCTGGGATCATGACCTGAGCTGAAGGCAGATGCTCAACAACTGAGCCACCCAGGTGCCCCCAAATGTGTATTTTTTAAAGCATCTGGCTGCCTTGCTCCTGTTGTGCGGTGGGGTATGGTCCACACAAGTCTGACACAGGTTTGTTGTCACGTGGACACTACCCTTTGTGGCTTAGGAGCTAAACCATCTTACTTCCACTGTTGTATCATGTTCCTCTAAGTAACACCTCCCTGGTACACACCTCTTATCTCCTTTAATCCTGCAAAGATGACGTTACAGTCCTTCTCTCATATATAAGAAAACTTAGAAGCAGACAGATTTTTTGAGGTTGGACAACTAATCAAACAGCAGAGATGAAATTTGAACCTATATCTATTGCAGTCCCAAATCCTTCCACTCTGCACTCAGAAACTACTTCTTTTTTTTTTTTTTTTTTTTTTTTAAAGATTTTATTTATTTATTTGAAAGAGAGGCAGTGAGAGAGAGCACGAGCTAGGAGAAGGTCAGAGGGAGAAGCAGACTCCCCGTGGAGCTGGGAGCCCGATGTGGGACTCGATCCCGGGACTCCGAGATCATGACCTGAGCTGAAAGCAGTCGTCCAACCAACTGAGCCACCCAGGCGTCCCCAGAAACTACTTCTTAATTTATAAACACTATTCCGATAAAAATACCAACTTTTTTAGAAGTAGATTTTAACGTTCACATAGATAAGTAAACAAGCAAGACTCCCTGGAAAAACTGTGAAAAAGGAGGGCAATGGGGCACCTGGGTGGCTAAGTGGGTTAAAGCCTCTGCCTTCACCTCATGTCATGATCCCAGGGTCCTGGGATTGAGCCCCACATCGGGATCTTTGCTCTGTGGGGAGCCTGCTTCCTCCTCTTTCTCTGCCTGCCTCTTTGCTGACTTGTGATCTCTGTCAAGTAAATAAATAAAATCTTAAAAACAAAAAAAAGGGCAATGAAGGAACACTTGTTCTAAATTATCTTAAACAGATTATAAAGCCTCAGTGGGAGAGTGTCATACTGGCGAGTGAGACAAATGGCACAGAATAGAAAGTCCAGAAATAGATGGAATCAGAGGCAGAAATTTAGCACTGAACAAAGGTACTAAATCAGTAAGAAAAACATGAGTAGAGTCCTCAATAAATGTATGGCAAGAACAATGTAATCAACTGGAAAAATGTTAAACTGGATTCCTTCCTTGGTCTATACACAGGTAAATAATCCAAATAAATTGAAGTTGTGTTACAAATGTAAACTATAAAAAGTACCATAGGAAAATGGGGCATCTGGTATATATCTCTTCCATACAGAGAACCAAAATTCCTGCAAGGTAAAAGAAACAAAACCATCTTAAGCAGACTCAAAGAAAAATAAGTAAAAAATGGGAAACATATACACAACTTATGGCTCAGACAACAAGCAGCAAACAGAACTCTTGAACAATAACATACTGTGGAAATGACAGCTGTGAGCTGGGTGCCCTACTTCTTGCTCCACCCTCACTTTGAATCAGATTCTGCTGAGAATTCATAACAACACACTTATCCTGATCTTGTAAAATAAGTTAAAAAAAAAAAAAATCTCCCCAGGTCCCTCACTTCCAGAGCCTTCAGAAGACCACAAAATGTCAAAGTTTTAACACTTACAACCCTCCTGTGGGGTAAAGGGTCCCTATGGTTGATATTTCAATGGTGTATTCTTGGGTAGGAGCTCGAGAGACAGTGATTCTTCCTTTGCTCCTAGAGCTGGTATTTCTTGCAACATTACTTCTTAAATGTGTGCAAGACCTGGGACCTGGAAAAAAAAAATTAAACACATGAAATTTGAATGAATCATTGTATAAACAAATGAATCAAGAAAGCAGGCTCATCCCAGGGAGTTACGGAGAAAAATAATGACAACCAATATCTAGATACTACTTCTGTCCCTATAATCTTGATAACAATTCTAGGCAGGTGCTTTTATCATCCTCATTTACATTTGAGCAAATGGAGGCACAGAGAGATTAAGTGATTTGGCCACAATCACGGGTTTAGACCTACATGCTCAAAAATAGAAGAAAAATAAAAAAGACATGTCTCAGAGACTTAAGAGTTTTATGAGGACTTAATGAATACCTCTCCCTTCCCCTGCTGCTGTCTGGGTTCATCCAACACAGCCACTTTCTCAACCACCCTTCGCCCTTCTGCTGGTTCCTCTCCCAGACCGGCCTGGCACGCCTTAGTTCTGACGACAGTCAGAAACTGGTTTCAGCCACTGTCAACAGAGCTGCTGGAACCAGCTCAGAGACAAGAGTTTTCTGGTAACAGAATTCTTGAAACCAGCAAAACCAACTCTATTTCTGCCACATAGTTTTGGAGTCTGCAATTTGGTAATATTCCTCTTTTTTTTTAATTTAAGATTTTATTTATTTATTTGACAGACAGGAGAGCACAAGTGGGGCGGGGCGCAGGAGCAGCAGAGGGAGAGGGAGAAGCAGGCTCCCCACTGGGCAGGGAGCGCCTTGTGGGCTCGATCCCAGGACGCTGCCAAAGGCAGAGGCTTAACCATCTGAGCCACTCAGGTGCCCCTGGTAAGATTCCTCTTAAGGGCCTCTTTTTTCGTTACTCTTCTTCTGTAAAAGAAACACTATTTTACTCAAAGAAAAAGCAAAGACTGCCATAGCTGCTACACTAACTACCGAGAGGATGGGGAAAAAGAACTCAAATAGGAGGCTAATTTGCTAAGAAAGGCTGTCACATCGCCTGCTGGGGTAGCCCACATGGCCTGTGCCACGGACTCTCCCCCGCCGTCATCGCAGAGCACTCCCGGGCCCAGAGAGAACAGCTGCACGGTGGCTGCGAGGCGGTTCTGCGCGGGAGTGGGTGGAAAAGTGGCTGCTTTCGGGGACGGGCGATTACCTCCCGCCAAGCCATAGTAGAGGTGTGCTCTGCTTTCAAGAGAAACGTCCTGGCAGAAGAAGTGGCAAGCGAAGCCGCTCTTAAATACTCCTTTCGAGTCGTCTGCCGTGTCCCCCTTTCCTTTGGAAAGGCGAGCTGAGGGTCTACGAAGAGGGCACGGTGTTGGGACTCAATAAACCTCGGGAGGTCATAGGAAAGGCCAGGCTTACCCCAAGAGGGAGCAGCCCCGAAACGCGAGAAAACCCCTCTGGCCAGGCCGCACCTGGGCGTCGCCTCGCGACCGGAGAGACCGACGTCCTGGCCCCCGCGGACTCCGCCCGGGAGAGGTATGCTACACGGGCAGGTGCCGCCAGCAACGTCCGCCATTTCGCCGCACGCGGACCGGAAGTTCCGGCACTTCCGGGGCGGCCCCCCGAAAACTCCGGCGGGCCCTCTAGCGACCCGGAGCGCCTGTGTCGCACTTCTCGCGCAGGTGCTTTCTGCTTCTGATTTTGAAAGTATAGCATGGACGACTCTTGAATTTTGGAAGATCTCCAGGTGGGCCCTACAGGATCCCTAAAACCGACATGCGGGACTGTAGGAGCTCGGAAAACCAGAGCTGCAGATTCTCTGTGGTTTTAAATTAGGGACCAGGTCCAGGAGAGCAGGGCTTTTAAAACTTGACTGTGATAATACAGCAAACGCCCTCAAACTATTTCCGTAAGAATTTAACTCAAGACACCAGTCAGTATACTTGTGTAGACATACAAGCTGATAAAAGGAGTTCCTAAAATGAAACATTACAGTTGTAAGTAATAAGTATGAATCCATTCCATGGCAGAGTACAAATTAAGAACATACTGCAAGGGTCAGACTTGAGGGTATAACCAGCTGCAAAAGAAATGGGCAAAGTAGCAGGTCTCTTTCTACCCGTACCACCAACTTTAACGGTTGACCCAATGCAAGCCACATGGCCCCTCTGGACCACCACTTACAGAATCGGTTAGAAAATGATCTCAAACATCACTTCCCAGACTAGCATTCTACGGACTATGAATAATTAAACACCATAGAAATGCAGTCATTTTTTCGGTGTGTTTACACACTGAAACCAATTGTCTAACTTATGCTGACCCTTTTCAAATCTGCTTAGGTGACAAAGGGCTGCAAACGATTAATGTTCTTAAAAAAACCTTTTTAGGGGTGTCTGGGTGGCTCAGTGGGTTAAAGCCTCTGCCTTCGGCTCAGGTCATGAACCCAGGGTCCTGGGATCGAGCCCCACATCGGGCTCTCTTCTAGGCAGGGAGCCTGCTTCCCCCTCTCTCCCTGCCTACTTGTGATCTCTGTCAAAAAATAAATAAAAATTAAAAAAAACACCTTTTTAACTATAGGAAATCACATTTTCTCCTTTGTGTCTGCCTTCCTATGTAAGATTGTCTGTTAAAAACTTTATACAAGTGGGTATGTGTTTTACTTGGCAAACTCTAACATTCTGGCTTGCAGCTTCCTTGGAGTAGTTAATCCTGTTTAGAGGGATTGCCAGAGGGACAGTGTGAAGGTTATGTGTTGTCCCCAAAGGTAAATCGGTTATAAGTTAGAGGCCCCCTGCTGAAGTTTTATCTTTGATTCTACATAATGAGCCAAGATAGGGAAGGCTAGCACTAGATTTGTAGTCCTAGAACACCTATTTGGTAGAATGATGGATGCAGATCTGATGCTGAAAGCAACCTTGGAACACCATCCTCAACCATTTTATGACTTACCATCACCCCAACATGTATAATGCTGTGAACTCCCATCATTTAAAGCTTTTTCTTTTCTAATCTTACATACTATAAAATATCTAAACAAGATTCCCTTAAAGCTTGCCATAGTTAATTTTTCTAACTGCAGTGCTGGTATTCATCTCTCTTCTTTCTCCTATATATCTTAAATATATCTAGACCAGGGCTTCTCATGGCACTATTAAACATACAGAGCCAGATCATTTCTTTTGTTGTGGGGGCTGTTTGGGCATGCAGGATGTTAAGCAGCATCCCTAGCCTCTATCTGCTGGACGCCAGTAGCATCACAACTGTCCACTGATGATACAACCAAAAATATCTCCAGACATTGCCAATTTTCTCCAGTTGAGAACCACTGGATATAACCTCAGATATAAAAGCCTATTCTCAAGCACTTTTGCAATGATAGCTTTAACACAGAAATCTCTAGTTTCTTATTATTTTCTCCCTCAATGAACAAATAAGTTTGGCTAAACAAATGGAGAGCTTCGTATTTCAGTTTTTGCATATATTCTCCTAAAGTTGAGATTTTTTTTTTAAGGTTTTATTTATTGGAGGGAGAGAGCCGGGGTGGGGGGCAAAAAGAAGAGGGAAAGGGAGACGCAGACTCCCCACTGAGCGAAGAGCACTGATGATGCTGCAATGGATGTGGAGCTTGATCCCATGGACGTGGAGATCATGATCTGGGCCAAAGTCAGATATTTAACCAACTGAGCCATCCAGGTGCCCCTGAAGTTGGATTTTTTAGTCTTAGTCTGAGGAATAGGCAGTTATAGATGTACATACAAAGTGGTAAGAGAGACATATAACCTTGAAAACAGCTTAAAAATTTTGTAGAGAACTCCATAAATAATCCACACAATGATTTGACAAGCATTTATTAAACACCTACTGTGTGCTCAGCACTGTACTAGGCACTGGGGGGTGCAGAGATACAAATGTAAAAGTCATCATTCCTGCCCTCAAGGAGCTTACAATTTAATTTTGGAAATAAATACAAATGTGAACTACAATACAGAGTGCTAGAAAATAATTACAAAGCAACATATTAGTAGTGCATGGACGACAGTACAAACTCAAAGGATAAGTGCTAAGGCAGCACAGAACAAGGGAGGTCTCAGTGTGAGAAGTCAGGTAGCGCTCACTCAGAAGTACAAAGAAGCTAGGCTTGAAGGGAGTGATGAACAAGAGCTGGGGCCAAAAACAATCTCAACAAAAGATACTGCAAGAGAAAGGCACAGAGGCAAGGGCTTGTAAGACAACAGTGTGAACGTGGTGAGTCGAGCTGAATATGCCAGAAAATGAGGCAGAGGCAGATTAAGCATGAAGGGCAAAATAATGGTAGAACTTGGAACACTAGTGCTCTGATAAGAATTATCTGCCAAGTGTTCTGGACTAAAAATGGATTCTAAGGAGAATCACCTTAGAAGCATGGGGAGGGGGATCTTGAAACCAATGAAATCTTGAAATTTCTTGAAATTTCTCGAAATCTTGGAAGAATGAAATTACAATCACCTGGGCATCAGAATATATGGATCTGCAGAAGGCTACAAGGGGATGGGAGAAATGTGAAAGATCCAGCCTCACGGAGAAAACTAAGAACTGGAATGTAGAGTGGAGGGCAGAAAAAGACAAAGACAACACTAAGATGGTGATAAGAAATAGGAAAGACAGGGCACCTGGCTGGCTCAGTCAGTAGAGCACAGGACTCGCGATATTGCGGTCATGAGTTTGAGCCCCACGCTGGGTATGGAGGCCACTTAAAAAGAACAAACAAACATACATAAAGGGGAATAAGTCTATTCAGGATAAAGAAGCTAAGCAATAATGCCTATTTAAAAGGAAAATGGGAGCTGGGGGATAAGCATGATGAGGTCTGTTTTCAAATACCAAGTTCTGTAGGTATCTGACCCACAGGGTGGGAAATATTAAGTTACTGAAATGAAATACAGAAGATTAAGTGTAAACAATCAAAATAGGTAAGTACCAGTGAATCAGAAAAAAATACTGGATAAAATCAAGACATGAGGGTTATTTCCTGTGGAGAGGAGAAACAAGACCAATAAAGAAAAGCTAGAAATTGGGGAAAATGATCAAGAAGGACCCCCCAAGCCAAAGAAGAGAATTCCTGGTTGCAGGGTCAACTCAGGAGTGTGAAATATAGATCGAGAAGGTCAAGAACTCAGAAAAGGCATTGAGATTTATCCACAGGACACTTAAGTGGAATACTGAGTACAAATGCCAGTAAGAAGTTTCAAGAGTATAGTAATGAGAAAATGGGGTTGAGCGATGGATGGTACATTTGAAAAACTGTGAGTGGTTGAAGAAAAAGAGAATGGCAGTTGGACATGGGCAGTGAAGTGGAAGGTTCTCTACACTTCATGCTGTAGGTAAGTTTTACTGTCATCCCAAATGACCATATGCCTGGCCTGGCATGGCACATGGATATTTCATTTCCCTCCACAATTCTAGTTCCCTGGGGCAGTTTAGGGAGAAATATACTTGAATCTGTACATTACTGCTTAATCCTCTGAGTTACTTTTTTTTTTTTTTAGTTACTCTTTTAAACATGTTTTATGTGTACATTTAACTTTCTAGTACTACAAACATCAAAAGTATCAATCAAAATAACATTTTTAAACCAATTTTCCAGTAATTGCAATGGATCTGTACTATACTATACTCTACGTTCCCTTCCCCAGTAGCTCTTATGGCCAGGGATACCGAATTTTCAGATGGCTGGCCAGGGTCAGGGTGTTCATTAGAGACATGGTAGCACAGTGGTCAACAGCACTGGCTCGAGAATCTGACACTGTAGGGCAGAGTCCCTACTCTGTCACTTCCCAGCTCTATAACCTTGGTCTACTCACTCACCCTTCTAAGCCTATTTCCTCATCTGTAAAATGTGGGATATACTATCTATCAGAGCCATGAGAAATGCTTAGCATATGGCTTGGCACACAGTAAGTGCTTAATAAATGACAGCTATTACTATTTAGAGGCTCAGGACCAAGAGTAAAGCTAACTGCTCTGTATGGGAATCACCCACCACATTCTAGCGCTGCCATCTTGCTCAATGGCAGAAATCTTTGAAACCTAAGACATGTCTTCTAGGACTAAGTTGAATGGCCGCAGAGTTACAGAAGAACCACTTTATCATGCTGGGCCCTAAAATGAGATCATGATAGGAGAAGAAAGTATTGGTGAACAGTTCATCTCAGATGAAGAGCATAAAAATAGAATCTGCAGGATATAAAGGAACTTAGCACACATCACTCAGTCAGGAGCTCAAGATAAGATCATAAAGATGGATCGACAACATTCTAGTACAAAGAGTGAGAAGTGGAGACCAAGAATGGACTTCTACATGTGCCCCCAAAGAAACAACAGCCTTTTCTACCTTCTTACACTGTGCAGCCATTTCTGTACGTGGGCTAAACCAACCTTGATAGTTCCTTTAAGTCACAGTCTTTCCTTTTTTTTTTTTTTAAAGATTTTATTTATTTATTTGACAGAGAGAGCGAGCGAGAGAGAGAGAGAGATCACAAGTAGGCAGAGAGGCAGGCAGAGAGAGAGGGGGAAGCAGGCTCCCTGCTGAGCAGAGAGCCTGACGTGGGGCTTGATCCCAGGACCCTGAGATCATGACCTGAGCCTAAGGCAGAGGCTTAACCCACTGAGCCACCCAGGTGCCCGGCACAGTCTTTCCTTATTTATCCCAGCATCATACTAATCTTTCTAGGCATATTTTCTTTTCTCTGAATTCCTGCCAGATGCTTAGTAATTATAGATTTAAGTAGCATGACTACACATTACTGTGAGTAGAGAGATGTTAGCTGGTACACTTACAGGCATTTTAGTATGTTGTTCTGAGAGCTTTTACCAGAATAGAAGACAAGTGCTCCTCGGAACTACGTGGGAGGACTGTGTGGATGTGTGCACGTATTAACCCTCTGATGGTGTACCCATCCTAAACAGTATCTGCACACAGGCAGCACTGGCAGAATTGGTATCCTACAGAGGGTAAAGGCACAATTGAAGCAGACAGCAAGGATCTAGAAACCACCAGATTTGTTTCTGGTTTCTTGAATTTTCAAGTACAAGGGAATGAGGAATGGAATTCCCTTCAAGTGCAAGGGAACCTATAGGCCAAAAGAAAAAAAAAGGAGAATAAGAAAACAAAGGATAATGGAAAGCACTGTTCTGAGAAAGTTAACCAAGCAAGCCACGATGACAAATGACAGATGGGTATCACTCGCTCAGTGAAACAGGGGTGATGTTGTTAGTGATCAGGGTGGGCCACAGTGGGTCAGAGAAAGGATTTTATAGAGAAGGAATTCATGACCCAAAGGCAGACCTTTATGATGAAAGATTTTATGACCTTTTGAAAAACATCAATACATGTTAGTAAGTGTTGTTCCTGTTTAGAACAGTCAGTGTGAAGTTGTGTAACTTCTCCTGGCGTGCGTCCTAGTCTCCTGAATAGGATTAGTGGAATCAATTCCAATTCTGAAAGCTGATTTTGGAAAAAAGCCAAAAGTAACTCCAGTCCAAATGTGATGAACAAGTGGGTAATGGTCAAAAATGAGACGTTACTCAGGGGTCCGTGTCTTCCAAATATTTGGAGGAGCGGTAGTGCTACCGGGCTAACCGGAAGTGCCAAATTTAAAGGACAAACCATGTTTGGATGCATAGAGTCTGGTCTGTTATTTAACCCAACCTTGTCACTTTACAGAATATCCTTTGGTACACTGAAAGCCTCCAAGAAAGATAGTGCCTGGTGATAATGAGTTAAGATACTGTGTCTGCTGGATTACACACGGAGTTCACCAGAATTTAGGAGATGAGGAGCTGTGAGGGGAAGTATTCAACAGATCGCCACGGGGACACACAGAGCTAATGGCAAGAAACAGATGGAGAATGAAGGGTGAGGGGCTAAGGCCATCTGATGAGGTGGGAGCAGGGTGACGACAGGAGTGACAGACTGTCCTGTCAGGGGTTTGTGCAGACTGGTAAGAACCTGAGAGGGCAGTACTGTAATGGGCCAGGCGAGCTGTGTGTACATTCTTTGTAAGGATTTTTAGGTCTTCTTCAAGCACCTCTGTCTCCCCTTTCTCCCATGTGATGCAGTAACTAGGATAGTGTCACCACCTCTGTGTACCACAGTGTACCGTGGGAAGGTGGAAAGGAGAGCCACAAGTCACCAAAAGGTACAACCACCCGAGCTCAAGAGCAGCCAGGCTGAGTCTCCACTCACCTCTTTCTCTGCTTCATTCCCACAACCATCACCTCCTTTGCGGACACACGCACGGGGGCTGGGGGTGGTGAAGGATACGTATGGACGCTCAATGACTCACTGGAGTCAGGGAAGGTGAGATATGAAGAAAAATGCTGCAGTGCTGTTAGAAATATAGCATTCTGAGTTTGCGTGGGAATATGGTTTTCTGACTATCAGAACATCAGAATAAAACAAAATGCACACTTAAGCATAAATACATTAAGTGTCTGTAAAAATTTCCCTAGAACTAGGTTCTCAGGAAGCTAAGTACAAAATAAATTTCACACAGATGCTGCTTCAAACTCTAAAGTGGCTTCTCAGATCAGATGTGCAGCACAAGTGCACCTCAGGGAGGTAAATGGGGGAAGGGAATCACAGGAGACGGGAGGAAGCAAAGGAACCAGGAGTAGCCTCTCTCAAAACCTACAACTACTCCTCAAAAGACAAAATTAAGTGCCTCCATGACAAGCAACTTGCTCTAACGCTATTTTGTTTCTAAAGGATACATCAGGCCATCAGGAGCTCCACTCCCTCAGACACCTCCCCGGACAGTCAAACTAACCCACCTCATCAAGGCACTGGCCCAGACTACTGAAGAGCTACTCTAATCCACCACCACGATCCGTTCTGACCCTGGTGAGGTTGCAGTGATGACACACTTTCTTTTTACTACACTGAAAGAGCCTCACCAGCATGTGGTTTCTCTAATGGGGAATAATGCCCAAACTACGACTGTGCTTTGTTCCTAAACTCCTATGGATTCAGATTTTTCTCCACTGTGGATTCTCTGATGCCGAATGAGACTTGACCTCTGAATAAAGGCTTTCCCACACTCATTACATTGATAGGGCTTCTCCCCTGTGTGAATTCTCAGATGCTGTATGAGGCCCGTGTTCCCATTGAAAGCTTTCCCACATTCTTTACATTTATAGGGTCTTTCTCCAGTGTGGATTCTCTGATGTTCAATAAGGCCTGACTTCTGACTGAAGGCCCTCCCACACTCATTGCATTTGTAGGGTTTTTCCCCAGTGTGGCTTCTCTGATGGCCAATAAGATGTGAGCTCCGCCTGAAGGTTTTCCCACACTCATCACACTCATAGGGCTTCTCCCCAGTGTGGATTCTCTGATGTCCAATGAGGTGAGAGCTATGACTGAAAGCTTTCCCACACTCATTACATTCATAGGGTCTCTCCCCACTGTGGATTCTCTGGTGCAGAATAAGGCCCGCACTCTGACTGAAAGCCTTCCCACACTGATTGCACTGATATGGCTTCTCCCCAGTATGGATTCTCTGGTGCAGGATCAGGCCTGTGTTTTGACTGAAGGCTTTACCACACTCCTTACAGTGATAGCGCTTTACTTTGTTGTGGATATCCTGATGGGAAAGAAGGGCTGACCTGTAACTGAAGGCTTTACCGCACACGTTACACTGATAGGGTTTCTCCCCAGTGTGGATTCTCCAGTGGCGAACAAGGCCCGAGCTCTGAGCAAAGCTCTTCCCACATTCATCACATTTATGTCGTCTCTCCTGGGTGGGATTTCCCCGCTGCCTCTCTAATCTGCCCAGAAGATCTCGGGCTTCTCCATGCTCAAGACCCCCGATAACATCCCCGTTGCATTTGGCAGCTGTCTCTCCGTGTGGTTGGATTCCAGTAGATATTACCTGTTTCGAAGATAATTCCCTGTTCTCATTCCTGGTCTCACCACCTGAAATTAAAATGTGGGAAACATCAAGCCAATGTCACTTTCTATTCTCTATGTTAAAAAGGAATTGAACATCAGGGAAATATACATGGAAAACTGGCAGGACATACAAAGCTGCCACCTGCCTCCAAATGCTGTCACAATACAGCATACAGAAGGAGAAGAAAGCAGGGTCAAACACAAGTACCACAGGCCAAATGGGGAAGAAGTGCCAGGAACGAAGAGGGGTTGGGCGGGGGGGGGGGGGGGGGGGGCAGAAATGGAAAAAGCCACAGTCACTGAAAGGGCGGAGCACAACGAACGTAACAGGGTGAAATCCAGGTAAAGATTCCATGGGACTGGGAGCAGAAAAAATGAGTCCCACTGCACAGAACAGTAGCCAAGGTACGTCCTGGCTTGGAGAGCTGAAGTCCACTTTATAGCACTGTTTCTCTCTGTTAGTTCCTGAGTTTGAACTCAACAATGTCTTTCAGAAAGCTCACAGCTACCATCGCAAAACAAAGAAACAAAACACCTTAACTGATAACAATAACCAGAGCTCTCCTTACCCAGGGAGAACATGTTTCGGTAATTCTCTGCCCTGTTATCTCTACTGGGATCCTTCTGGGATGGATCAAGAAGCCACTCCTCTCGAATTAGGGACACAGCCATGTCTTCGATCTTCTCTAAAGTCTGAAACAAAACAAAATCCCCATGTGGGACTGGCACTGTTCCATAGCTCCAGCCCAGAGTATCGGAAGTCCGCCAGGCTTGGAGAGGATCAGGAGGTGGGAACGTACTGTGTAAAGGGATCTCAAGAAGCTGGGAAGAGGAGAGAAATGCACCAGATTTGCTGGGGTTAGGGAAAATCAAGAAACATGCAAAAAGAATCTGGGGCAACTCCTGGTCAGTATGGGTACAGAGTCCAGACAGAAGGTAGATGCCACCCACGCTGTCAAGCAGAGCTACCGGGTTTCAGGGAGAAGGGGTACAACTCACCTGGAACCCTGCTGTGAGAAGTGTTGCTGTCATCTCCTGGTCTCCAGGACTTCCCTTCTGGGAAGGGGTAGGACTCTGAGAAGTAGAGATGGCTAAGAGAGGAGAAAGGAGCGGAGTGAGACCAGTGCTGTCCCATAGCTGCGGCAGCCAGCGCTAACCCATTCCAAAGATGCTTGTATTTCAGAACATGTGCTTGTCACAGATTTTGCACATAAAATGCTGAAGGACCCCGGGCTGGCTCGGCAGGAGCATGCAGGTCTGCATCTCAGGGTCGTAAGCTGAAATCCCACACTAGGTACAGAGGTTCCTTAAATAAACTTAAAAAAAAAAAACTTTAAAAAATAAAAAGTATAAAATAGAATGCTTATATCTTGGGCTCTGGGTCTATACCTATGGCTGCACACAAGACAGCACTTTGATGTCCTACTCAGCCTGAAGTTACATGTCAAAAATAGAGTACCGGTTTACTTTTTAAAATTTTTATTATTTTTAAAATTTATTTTATTTGTGAGAGAGAGAGAGAGCAAGAGCAGAGGGAAGAGGGAGAAGCAGACTCCCCGCTGAACAGAGAGCCAATCCCAGGACCCTGAGATCATGACTTGAGCTGAAGGCAGATGCTTAACTGGCTGAGCCGCCCAGGTGCCCCTGACTACTGGTTTCCTAACAGGAACTGCTTTAGAGTTTCTTCTCTCTCACCAAAGCTACTTTCTATCCTTGTGCCTCTGTACGGTGTTTCTTTAGGTCCTGATCTCATTGGCAAATGGAATATGAGAACCAATTTATCTCTGTTAACTCTATTACCTTTCTGAAATGTCTACCATGACTGCCACTATCTGCTTCCTACAGATATCAGACATTGCAATACCAAAATTAACAGACTACTGCGTCTTGGGCAATAGGCTTTAGAACTTCAGACAACAACCATATTACTAACTCAAATATTAAAAATCAGTTTACATGGAACAAACTACTATAAATCACATAAATGAAAAAAAAAAGGAATGCGGAGCAAGTATGAGAGGAGACTAGAACATCTTGTTCTGCAAGAAGGTAAGAAGTTCTCAAAAAACAATGGGGAAATTTCAAAAGGCTGGAGGAGCCAGACTGAAGGGGCCTCCTCTGACCAAATCTGAGACAATTTAAGCATCAAAATAAAGATGGTGACAAAATAAAGATAGATATAGGTATTTTATTTCTGGAATAAAATAAGACCTTTTGAGTCCATACTAACAAATTAACGAATAAAATAAAATAGGGAGGAGGGAACACTCTCTATTACAACACATAAATGTAGAAGGCATGACACAGAAAATCATCATTTTGTAAGTCTTAGTCATCACTGATTCATTCATGCAGCATCAATGAAAATTAAACTCGTGTTTTGGCAACAAAAGTTTGATGAGGACCAGATACTTAAACACACTCAAGAGTATCTCTCCACAAATTACTTACTAATTACAAAGGGAAAAATAGTAACTTTATGGTGATTAACCTAGCAAGAATAACCGTCATCAAAGATGCCAACAAGAGTAACAGGACAAATGCCTGTGGTACAGCAGCAAAGGAGGCAACGGCCCTGCCGGGTGCTCCAGCCACATACATACAACTGGAATTTATGTGTAAGGAAATGTCACATAAACCCAAACTGCAGCCACTCTATAAAATAAGCGACCTGTATTCATCAAGAATGTCAAAGTCATGAAAGGCAAAGAAAGGCTGAGGAACTATTTCAAATTAAAGGAGTCTATAGAGACACGGTAACTGCCTGCAAAGGGTAATCTTGGACTGGACTCCAGAAGAACATTACTGGGACAACTGGCAACAGAAATATGAGCTGTGGACCCGATTAGTAATGGATCAGTGTGACATCTCCTCACTGTGATGCATTTATTGTGGCTATCCAAGACAATGTTTTAGTCTGAGGAGTTATATACTAAAACAGTTACAAAGAAAATGGCTTGATTCCAGCAAAACCTCAAAAACGCCTATGTTGCTACTATACTGGGATAAAGAAATGTATGAAGATATAAAAATCCCCGAGTTCTTTAATTTGTTCACGAATTTACCAACGGGACTGACAGTCTGTCTTTGAAGCCTAGGTAAACATTCAAACCCAGATCTTAGGACTGGTCTGTAAACAGAAATTCCACTTCCTGGTTCTCTAGGAACTCAACAGGCACTTTCTTTTCTACTCCTCCCTCCTTGTCAATGAAATCTGGCCCCTCACCTCTCTCTTGTGGCCCTTGGGGCACTGGAGATTTGTGCTGGGTTGCCACAGATCGGAGTGGAGCATCTGGAAGCTCTGGTGCAGACTCTGAATGCACCACCTCCTCCCAGAGTCCATGTCCATGTGCACGGGCTGGGACCTGAGGACAATGGGACAGCTGCATTACAAGAAATTCCTTCATGAAAGGAAGCAAACATTATGAGGACCAAGAGCACAACTATAAGGCTATGTACTTGTTAAAAGGAAGAAGAATTTCATCTACTTCCTAAGGGCAGTAAGAACACAAACATATCATATAGCACCGAAAGGCATCATTTCTGCTGATGCCCTTCCTGCCTTTTGCACCTGCAAGGCATGGGAAGAGAGATAAATGGAAACTTAAAGCAGGGCTATTAGATAGAAAAAACTTTTGATAACACCAAAGAAACCTGAGGTCTGGTCTCAGATCTGCCTTTATGAGCGCCCAGAGAAATTCAAGTAACTGAAGCTCTCTGTATAGCAGTTTCCCACCTGGCAAACAGGAACAATCATAGTCGCAAGGATGTTATGAGGATAAAAAAGGTACACACAGCCTTCGCAAAAATAAAAAGAACTCTACAGATACAAGCCACGCTGCGCTAGAGCTGCGTCCATCCTCCTACAACACAAACAGGACGCCCGGCATTTATTCTCCCGCTGCGGAGCTCATGTCCCTCCAGGCCGCTTCCAGACCTCCCAGTCCCAGCGTGCACGCCACCTTCTGCTTACCGGCCGCCCTAGTATGTCAATCTGCCTTTCCAAGTCCTCCAGCAGGGTCACCACCTCCTCTCCGTTCTCCAGCTGATGTTCCTTCACCAGCGTTTGCAGCTCCTCAGGCAGGATGGTCAGGAACTGCTCCAGCACCAGCAGCTCCAAGATCTGCTCCTTGGTGTTCAAATCCGGCCTTAGCCACTGATGGCAAAGTGCGCGGAGTTGGATCAGAGCTTCTCGGGGCCCTAATGTCTCCTGGTAGCATAACTTCCTGAAGCGCAGGCGGAATAGCTCTTGGCCAGGAGGGTTATTTTCATGCAGACTGGATTCCTGGTCCCAGCCATGATCTTCCTCTACCTTGACGATGACAAGGTCTTCCTCAGGAGCTTGGTCAGATGGGGATGGGGCTAACGACTTTCTTGATTCTGTTGCCATTTAGGGCTGGAGCAGCTCCGGAGGCTCGTCCCCACTACCTTCTTTATCTTCTCAAGAACCTTCCAAGGAGCTCTTCAGTAAGTGCAATACTTGGGGTAGAGAAACTGCCAAACAATATTAAAGCAAGACAAATTTACTAAGACACCTTAACCAGCTCCTTACCACAGCATATCCCTCATGGCTCAGTCATTTAAGTGATCCTCTCCACCATTCCAGAAGTAACTCCTTACCTCCTTAGCTTTCTGCCACACTGAACACCCATCTGGGCAATATTCCCTTCCTTCTGCTTCCTCTCTCTGGGGCTGTGGTATACAGCAAACAAAGTCAGGAAACCATGCAGACTGGGTCTAACTGAAGATCTGCACTTAACCTCAGCTGGTCCTCAAGTGATGCTGATGAACTTTCAGCATTTGCTACACCAGTGATACCATTTCTACCCATTTCAGCTCTCAACTCAGCCCTCACACTCAACAGATGAATCTCTGTATAATCTAGCTCAGGGTATTGTCTAGAACCGTCCTAACACCATAGGCTCTTCTCCACCTAAGTCATTATCCTACTGTGCTCTCCATCCTCCCTCCTGTCTCAAGGCTAACCACTTCCACTGTGGACCTTATCTCCCTCTACAACTCTCTTTGGAGCACTGGTCCTGCCTCTCAAAGGAACCTAAATGCCCTAACACACCTGTGACCCAAAAGTCTAGTGCCACACACTAATGACCTTTTATAAATAAAAGCACACAGTAGGTAGTCTTTTGAGACTGACATCTTTCACTTAGCGTAATACATATGAGGTCATCAATGCTATAAAATGTACCAGCAGTTTATTCCTTATATGGATGTATGTTTATCCATTCTGAATTGAGAGATAATCTCAAGGCATTTTCAATTTTTGATGATTACAAGCAAAGCCACTATGAGTATCTACTATGAGTTTTTGTGTGAACATGTTTTCATTTCACCTGGGTAAATATCTAAAAGTAAAACTGCTGGGTCATATAGTAGGCTATGTATAACTTCATAAGAAACTGCAAAACTGGGCGCCTGGGTGGCTCAGTGGGTTAAGCCTCTGCCTTCAGCTCAGGTCATGATCTCAGGGTCCTGGGATCGAGTCCCGCATCGGGCTCTCTGCTCAGCGGGGAGCCTGCTTCCCTCTCTCTCTCTCTCTCTCTGCCTGCCTCTCCATCTACTTGTGATCTCTCTCTGTCAAATAAATAAATAAAAAATCTTTAAAAAAAAAAAAAAAAAAAAAAAAGAAACTGCAAAACTGTTTTCTAAAGTGGCTGTAACACTTTGCATTTCACTATCAGTATGTAAGAACTGCCGTTGCTTCATATCCTGACAAGCAATTGATATTGTTTTATTTTTAATTTTAGATATCTGAGTGTGTAATGGTATCTCAATATGGTTTTAATTTGCATTTTCCTTCTGACCAATAATGTCGAGCATCCTTTCACATGCTTATTTGCCATCCGTAGATCTTTGGTGAAGTGTCTGCTCAAAACTTTTGTCTGTTTTCAAAATTAGTTCTCTTTCGAGTTTGAGAATTCCTTACATATTCTGGATACAAGGCCTTTATAAGATATATGATTTGCAAGTATTTCCTCTTCACACCTTCAACAGTGCCTTTTGAAGAACAGAAATTCTTAACTTTTGGAAGTCAAACTGGTCAATTTTTTTCTTTTAGGGACTGTGCTTTTGGGGTCATATCTAAGAAACCTTTGCTTAATCCATGGTCACCAAGATTTCCTCCTGTTTCTTTCTAAAAGTTTTATAGCTTTAAGTTTTACCTTAGGTTTATCATCCATTTTGAGGGTTTTTTGGGGGGTTTAAGTAAAATCTACACCCAGCCTGAGGCTCAAACTCACAATCCCGAGATCAAGAGTTGCACACTTCACCTGCAGAGTATGAGCAAGGCAGGCGCCCCAAATTCTGAGTTAATTCTTACATAGACAGAGTCTGAAATGTGAACAGCACACAGATACCAAATTGTTCCAGCGCTATTTGCAGAAAGGATTACTCTTACCCACTTTGCCCATCTTTGTCTAAAACCAACGGGCCACGTATGCATGGACCTATTTCCGGAATCTCTGTTCTGTTCCACTGACCTACACCTTTATCCTTTCACCAAACCAAGCTGTCTTGATTACTGTGGCTTTCAAAATCTTGAAATCAAGTACCAAAGTCCTGCAACTTTATTGTGGATTTTTAAAATTGTTTAAAAAAAATTTTTTTAAGATTTTATTTGACTGAGAGAGAGACATGGCGAGAGATGGAACACAAGGAGGGGGAGTGGGAGAGAGAGAAGCAGGCCTCTGAGCAGAGAGCCCAATTCGCGGCTAGACCCCAGGACCCTGGGATCATGACCCGAGCTGAAGGCAGCCACTCAACGACTGAGCCACCCAGGCGCCCTGTTTTAATTTTTTTTTTTTTTTAAGATTTTATTCATTTATTTGACAGAGAGAGATCACAAGCAGGCAGAGAGGCAGGCAGAGAGAGAGGAGGAAGCAGGCTCCCTGCTGAGCAGAGAGCCCGATGCGGGGCTCGATCCCAGGACCCTGAGATCATGACCTGAGCCGAAGGCAGCGGCTTAACCCACTGAGCCACCCAGGCGCCCTGTTTTAATTTTTCTAATTCCATTGACTTCTGATATAAATTCCTACAAAAAGAAATCCTGGACTAGGATTTGCGCTGAATCTATAGCTCACTGACATTTTAATCTCCATTCTGTAAACACAGTCTGTCTCTCCATTTATTGAAGCCTTCCCTGATTGCTTTTGTTAGTGTCCAAACTACATATTCTTAAAGGACAAAATAAAATATTTTCTCCTTTAAAATCCTTTCTTGGAGTGCCTGGCTCAGTTGGAAGAGCATGTGACTCTTGATGTCAGGTCTGTGAGTTCATGCACCACAATGAGTGTAGAGCTTACTTATAAAAAAAAAAAAAAAAAAAGGAAAAAATCAAGTAAAATCCTTTCTTGATGACTCCAATTGGAAGTGACTGCCCTCTTCCTTATACTTGTTGCATAAATGTTTATCATTTTACTTTATTTGTGATGGTCAAGTGATTTTTATTTTAGGAATATGCTAATACAACATTGGAAAATGTATTCTCTCATCATATTCACAGAAAAAATGCATAACTTTTTTTTTAAAGGTTTTATTTATTTGACAGAGAGAGATCACAAGTAGGCAGAGAGGCAGGAGGAGAGAGAGGAAGAAGCAGGCTCCCTGCTGAGCAGAGAGCCCGATGCGGGGCTTGATCTCAGGACCCTGAGATCATGACCTGAGCCGAAGGCAGAGGCTTTAACCCCCTGAGCCAGCCAGGTGCCCCATAACTTGTTTTTTTTTTTAACGTTACTTTTTCTTGTAGTTATATATTATTAGTTGCAAGAAGTTTTGACTTCCTAACTTAATTGTATATTCCCAATGAGTACAGATCTATATCTTTTATTGATTGAATTGAAGAACATGCAAAAGCTATTATTTATAATACCTAACACAGAATATATCTATATTTGCTGAAAAGCAAGGTTTAGATACGAACCTGGAGGTCCAAAGAGTTCACTAATAGGGTCCTATTTCTTTGTGGGATATGTCCTATGGCCTTTATCTTTGGTAACAGACATCACCTCTCACTGGCACTTACAGTGGTTAAGTGGTCTTCCTGCTTTTTGGTTATTCTTTTATCCCATTTGTGTTCCACACTGCTGCCTGCTGCGAGTTGAACTGTGTGCTCCCAAAAGATTATGCTGAGGTCCTAACCCTTGATCCCTGTGAATGTCACCTAATTTAGAAGTAGGGTTTTTGCAGATGTAATCAGGTCAAGATGAGGTTACACTAGAGTAGAGAAGGGCTTTATACAGTATGACTGGTATACTTTTAAGAAGAGAAGAGACACAGAGATTGAGACATACAAAGAAAGGGCCGTGTGAACACAGACACAGAAGAAAACTATCTGACTACAGAGGCAGAGATCAGGAGTTAGGCAGCCACAAGCCAAGGAATGCCAGTAACAACCAGAAGCTAGAAGAGCGTAGCCCTACCAACCCCTTGACTTTGGACTTTTGGCATCCATAACTGTGAGAGAATAGATTTCTGCTGTGTTAAGCCACTCAACTTGTGATACTTTGTTATAGTTATGTTACCCTATGAAATTAATAATGTGCTAGAGAGACTGTTTCAACAAATATGTAATACAACTCACCACTTTAAAATCTTACAACAAAGAACCCAACTCTTCAGCCCAATACCCAACGCCCTTTACGGTACGTATACCTGCCTACCTTTATCTGCTATAAGCTTACCTTCATATAGCTTTTTCCAAATGTGGCTTTTTTTTTTTTTTTAAAGATTTTATTTATTTATTTGACAGAGAGAGAGATCACAAGTAGCGAGAGAGGCAGGAGGGGTGGGGGGTGGGGAAGCAGGCTCCCTGTGGAGCAGAGAGCCCGACTCAGGGCTCGATCCCAGGACCCTGGGATCATGACCCGAGCTGAAGGCAGAGGCTTAACTCACTGAGCCACCCGGAGCCCCTCTTACATCCTCTTTTAAGAACACCGGGTCAAGGGGCGCCTGGGGGGCTCAGGTAAGCATGGGACTCTTAGTTTTGGCTCAGGTCTTAAACTCTGGGTGGTGAGATGGACCCTGGGGAGGGCTCTGCACTCAGCAAGGAGTCTGCTTGAGATTCTCTCCCTCTGTCCCTCCTGCCTGAGCTCTCGATCTCTCTCAAATAAATAAACAGGGGCACCTGGGGGGCCCAGTCAGTTAAACATTTGCCTTCAGTTCAGGTCATGGTCCCAGGATCCAGTGATTGCAGGAGTCCCCTTCTCTCTCTCCCTTTGTCCCTCCCCACTGCTTGTATGTGAGCACATGTACACTCTCTCTCAAACAAATAAATAAATAAATAAAATCTTTATAAATAAATAATTCTCTTTTTAAAAGTACCTAGTCAAGTTTGTTTATTTAGGAAGTTAAACTAGTCAATCTGCAAAGCCTCTTCTAATCTCAAATGCTATATAATCCTGTCAACTACCAAAGGTACAACTCAGATTTTATTTATTATTTTTTTAAACATTGTTTTGTCAGCATTTTGGAGGGAGGGTGGAGAAGATTTAGTTATTTCAGAGAGAAAGAAAGCAGAGGCAGAAGGAGAGAATCTCAAGCAGTCTCCTTGTTGAGCTCGATCGTGGGGCTCCATCTCAGGACCCTGAGATGACCTGAGCCCAAATCAAGAGTCAGAAGCTTGGGACCCCTGGGCAGCTCAGCAGTTAAGCGTCTGCTTTCAACTCTGGTCATGATCCCAGGGTGCTGGGATCCAGTCCTGCCTTCAGCTCCCTGCTCAGTAGGAAGCCTGCTCTTCCCTCTGCCTGCTGCTCCCCCTACTTGTGGGCTCTCTCTCTGACAAATAAACTAATTAAATCTTAAAAAAAAAAAAAAAAAAAAAAGAGTCTGGAGCTTACGCTACTGAGCCACCCAGGTGCCCCAGAACTCAGATTTTAAAGCATTATTCTTTTAAGAGGTGAGAAGGAATATTTCCTTCCTTTGGACTAAGTTAGTCTACTTTGGGAAGTTTGGGAACTGAAAATAAAACAAATCAAAACAAGAAAGAGATTTTTCAGGCTTTAAAGGTCAAGAAAAAATAAGTGAGGCAAAAACTGTCCTTAAGAGTTATCTCCAGGGGCGCCTGGGTGGTTCAGGGGGTTAAAGCCTCTGCCTTCGGCTCAGGTCATGATCTCAGGGTCCTGGGATCAAGCCCCGCGTCGGGCTCTCTGCTCAGCAGGGAGCCTGCTTCCCCCTCTCTCTCTGCCTGTGATCTCTGTCAAATAAATAAAATCTTAAAAAAAAAAAAAGTTATCTCCAACCGCAGAAGCCGGTTTTAATACCGACCACACTTCACACCACCCACAGCACTAATTCAAAATACTTAGGCATCTGTTAAGTCAATGATTACTGCATAAATGCTCTTAACTGAACCAAACGACCGAAATCTGGATTGTTCTCAGAACGGAAGCGGCAGTCTTCACGCTGCCCGACAGAATGACTCGCGAGCGGATGGGGCTCCTCCCGAAGAGCTCCAGGCATGTACTTCAGCGACCCTTGATACACGAGCTACGTGTTTCGAGTAAGGCTGAATTCCAGATGTGAAAAATGTGTCTTCTGTACAATGACCCAGGCAACACACCACCATTTTCTGAATACACCACAAAGAGCAGAGTAACAGCAAAAATCGGTTTCCAAGGATAATTAGGGTTTCCAAAAGCAAAATATTGAGGCCAAAAAAAAAGGGGGGGGGTGGGGATCGTACTGTGAAGGAAATGCAAAAGAACTGCGAAGTAAAACCAATTCAGACGGTGGACGCGCCGGGATAAAAGACAACGTGCGGGCGGTTTCCCGTGTTAAGATAGGTAACATCACAAAAAGAGGGGCGGGAAGAAGAAAGCGACCCGCCAGGGCAGGGTCCCTGTCAGAGAGTCTGGGGCCGCGGCCTAGGCTTGCGCCCGCGGGGGACCAACCCCCGAACCCCCTGCAGTCCCGGGCCCCCCCGGCGTCCTGGCCCCTCTCCAGACCCTCAGGTCGGTCCCCAGCGGCGGCCTAGTCTGGCCACAAAGCGCTCCCCTCCTCCACCTGGAGCCCGAACCGTTACTCACCGCGAGCAACAGGGGCGGCCCGGGGTGGGGAAGGCGGGCTGCAGAGGACCCACGGACCCGGAGGAGCGGCGGGGAGGAACCCGGGAGAAAGCCGCAACCGGACCAGGGCCCTCCGGCCCGTAACTTCCAAACCCGCGGAGGCACGACATCGACCAACGCGCATCTTGTCTCGAGGCACTTCCGGAAGCTCTCTAGGAACCCGGGAGGTCTGGAAGCTCTATGGTCGGCCGGCGGAGGGCTTCGGCTCGCCTGCGCCTGCGCGGCGCTGGGTCCGCGGGTGCTAGGGTGAAGGTCGGCGTAGGCGCGGGTCCTGCAAACCGTTAGAGACCTGCCAGTTGCTTGAGGAATTCCTGCCCGCCACAGTTCATAGCCTTTGGGTTCCCCTTTGGCACCGAGTACAACTTACAGTGTCATGTTCAAAAAGTCATGGTGATTGAGTATAAATGCCCAACGAATCTTTACAGGCGTTCAGCCCTTTCCTAGCTGGCTGAACCGTAACCTCACAAAACCTGCTTCGCAGTTGAGCGTTTGAAATGCTGTTTGTGAGGGACGCTTCACTAGTGGACCCTAGTTTCCACACCACAAAGTTAGGGAAACAGATCTACGTTCACATCTGCGTTCATTCTTTTGTTGCCTGAAAGAACCTCAGCAGGTTACTGAGGACTACGGCCAGGGAGACAGTGGTTCAAGCTGCTCCGAGAACTGCTCCCGAGCTGGTTCCCTGACAAGGGATTTTGTGCAAACACGGGAAATTCTTGACTCTCTATATTCTTGACTCACAACGTATGATCTGTTCGGTTGTAAAAGTTAAGATTTACTGATTTCCACAGAGACATAAATCTTAATTTATGTCAGGAATTCCCCAAGCAACTGGCAGGTCTCTAAGGGTTTGCCGGACCCGAGCCTACGCCGACCTTAATGATGCATGATGCTTCTAGCATATTTGATTGTTCAAAACTAGCGCCTGCAGGCCTGTGCGTTACTGGTTTTCCCGTTCTTCCTGTTTGCGAATCTCCTTGAGGTCACTGGGGATGATCACAGAAGACTGACATTAGTTCCTTCTGCAATGTTAGTGCACACTTTGTATATCCGTTGTATTAAAGTTTTAGCTTTTCAGATTAAATAGGATTTGGGGGTGGGGATTGAAGAAAATGTCTTATTTGTGCTGTTTTGTGCCCCCTCCTCCATTTTTATTCCTTCACCACCTTTCCTAGCCACCCACTTATTTTCTCAGATGCCCTTCCAATCTTCACCTTAATTTTCCCTCTTTATCTGTTCTTGCTGATAGCTGATGTGGAGAACAAAAGCAAAAGAAAAAAAAATTAAACTTCCTTACAACTTACAGCCCATTGACAAGTGCCTGAGATGGGTAGAGTGACCTTCCTCTAGGAGCTTAGCTGCCACAATGTTAATACTTTGCTAGCAGCAAAAGACAGCCTTAGCTTGACATTAGCCTGACTTCCAGGAGCCTATAAAAAATCCTTTGGAAACTTCCTTCCTCTCTATCCCCTAAAATATATGTCAGCAATCATACCCCAAGCATAGGGCCCACTGATATACATCTGAAGGGTCTCATGACTAAGGATTTAGATAGACAGTAATGAATGACCTTTCCTAACAATAGCAAACACCTCCAGGTCCTGGAAACCCTGCTTCCAAAATTCCTCAGAGGGGCACCTGGATGGCTCATTGGTAAAGGGTCTGCCTTTGGCTCAGGTCATGATCCAGGGTCCTGGGATCAAGTTCCACTTCAGGATCCCTGCCCAGCAGGGGAGTCTGCTTTTCCCCTTCCCCCTGCTCATGCTCTCTCTCTCTCACTCACTCTCTCTCTCTTTTAAATAAATAAATAAATAAAATCTTTTTTAAAAAAGATTTTTTTTAATTTAAAAAATTTTTTAAATTAAAAAAATTTTTAAAAAATATTTTTAAATAAAATCTTTTTTTTTAAAGATTAAAAAAAAGATTTTATTTATTTGACAGAGACAGTGAGAGAGGGAACACAAGCAGGGGGAATGAGAGAGGTAGAAGCAGGTTTTCCACTAAGGAGGGAGCCCGAAGTGGGGCTCTATCCCAGGACCCCGGGATCATGACCTGAGCTGAAGGCAGATGCTTAATGACTGAGCCACCTAGCCGCCCCTCCAATAAATAAATAAAATCTTAAAAAACAAAACAAAACAAAACAAAATTCCTTAGAGACTTACACTCTCCCTAACCCCCTTCCAACTTGAAAGTATATAATGGGTCACTCCTCGGGACCCTATGACCTCATGACCAAAGACATTTCAAGAATTCTTTATTGACTCTTCATTCCCAAACCCCAACATTTTCACATCAATAGCGTTTCTATCTAGTTCCTAATCCAAACTCGAAAATATTTTGTCCACCCATCAGGACCAAATCTCAGTAGTTTTGATCTGTTTTTAGGTTTTTAAATCCAATCATTACAATGAAACAAATAACACTAAACCCCGAGAAGTTACAGTGTTTCTAGACTCCCTCAAAACACTTATTTTTGCTCCTTATTTTATAGCTCTTGCTTCCCAGATGGGATGGTAACTGGACATAGCTGGCAACAGATTAGAAATCTGCCCTCAGTTTCTTTTTTTTTTTTTTCATTAAAAAAATAATTTTTTTAAAAAACAAAGTTATAGGGGCACCTGGGTGGCTCAGGGGTTAAAGCCTCTGCCTTTGGCTCAGGTCATGATCCCAGGGTCCTAGGATCCAGCCCAGCATCAGGCTCTCTCCCCGGGGGGAGGGGAGACTGCTTCCTCCTCTCTCTCTGCCTGCCTGCCTCTCGCCTACTTGTGATCTCTATCTGTCAAATAAATAAATAAAATCTTTGAAAAAATAAATAAATAAAAAAGAAAGTTATACACATAGGTAGTTTAAAAGTAAAATAGCATGACCAAAGGAAAGATTTCTCAGAAGGCACTAATGATAACAGATAAAATTGCTAAATTTGACTTCATCAAGATTTAAATCTTCTGTTCAATAAAAAACACCTTTAAGAAAGTGAAAAGAGAAGCTACAGACTGGAAAATATTTGGAATGCGTATTTCTGATAACAGGTATGTAGAATATGTAAAGAACACTCACAATCATAAGAAGGCAAACTAACATAAATAGGCAGAAGATGTGAGCACATACTTTACTAAAGAAGATATTTGAATGGCCATTGAATGGCCATAAAAAACACATGAAAAAGTACTCAATATCATACAAGGAAATATAACATTAAAATCACAATAAGACATTGAAACCACTACATATCCATTAGAATGGCTAAAATTAAAATGACTGATGGGGCGCCTAGGTGGCTCAGTGGGTTAAAGCCTCTGCCTTCAGCTTGGGTCATGATCCCAGGGTCCTGGGATGGAGTCCCACATTGGGCTCTCTGCTCAGCAGGGAGCCTGCTTCCTCCTCTCTCTCTGCCTGCCTCTCTGCCTACTTGTGATCTCTGTCAAATGGGTAAATAAGATCTTTTCAAAAAAAAAATTAAATTAAATTAAATTAAAATGACGGACAGCACCAAGTGCTGGTAATTATATGAAGCAACCGGAACTCTTATTCACGGCTAGTGTGAATGTAAAATGGTATGCTAGTTTGAACAACTGGGAATTTTTAATGAAGTTAAACAATGCCTGCATTATGTCCCAGCAATCTCACTTCTAGGCATTTACCTAAGAGATATGAAAATATAAGTCCACAGCACCTCTATTCGTAATAGGCCCAAACTGGAAAAACCCACATGTTCATCAATAGGAGAATAGAGAATCAAATAGTGTTATGTTCCTACAATGTATACTACTCAGAAATAAAAAGAAGCTACTGATAGATGAATAATGTGAATGAATGTTAAAAATATTATGTTGGGGCACATGGTTTGCTTAGTTGGTAGAGCATGTGACTCTTGATATTGGGGTGGTGACTTCAAGCTCCAGATTGGGTGTAGAGATTACTAAAAAAAATTTTTTTTTAATATTATGTTGAGAGGAGCCTGGGTGACTCAGTCAGTTAAGTGCCTGCCTTCGGCTCAGGCCCTGGGATCCACACCTACATTGGGCTCCCTGCCCAGCGGGCACTCTGCTTCTCCCTCTCCCTCTGCCTTTCTCCCTCCCATTCATGCTCACTTTCTCTTTCTCTCTCCAATGAATAAAAGAAATATTATGTAGAGTAAACGTAGCCTCATAGGAACATATGTTTAGGATAAGTAAAATTAATCTGTGCTGACAGAAGACAAAAAACTTCCATTGGGATTATGGTTATATGATTGCATAATATGTGAAAACTGAGTTGCACACCTGACTTGTGCAGTTTACTAATAACAATAAAATTTTAAAAAGTTAATAAAATTTGGTGTGCCCGGCTGGTTCAATCTGTAGAACACGTGACTCTTCATCTCAGGTTGGTGAGTTCAATCCCCATGTTGGGCATAGAGCCTACTGGAAAAAAGAAATTAATAAAATTAAATAGTACTGGGGCACCTGGGTGGCTCAGTGGGTTAAGGCCTCTGCCTTCGGCTCAGGTCATGATCCCAGGGTTGTGGGATCGAGCCCCACATCGGGCTCTCTGCTCAGCGGGGAGCCTGCTTCCTCCTCTCTCTCTGCCTGCTTCTCTGTCTGCTTGTGATCTCTGTCTGTCAAATAAATGAATAAAATCTTTAAAAAAAATTAAATAGTACTCTCAGTTTTATGATGTGAAAAACACCAGGCCTTATTCCTCTGTTCCCTACTGATATCTACTCCCCAGAGATAGTCACCTTAACTTGTTCTTTTTACTTTTCATATTAACCTCCATATTTATAATGTACTAACATTTCTTGACTTTTCACGTATAGGTATTCTATAATATGTACTGACTTCCTACTATGGAAAATATAATTTACTTTTTTATGCCTCTACTAGAACTAGCCACACCAGGGATTAGAAGGCACATAAACTTCCTGAGTTACTAGGTCTGACAACAATAGCAGCCCTGCCAAGGCACAAAATTATTAGACTCTGCCCAGCGGGAAGTCTGACTCTCCCTTTGACACCCCACCCATGAGCGCGCTCTCTCTCTCTCATTATCTCTCTCTCAAATAAATAAATAAAATCTTTTAAAAAATTCAATTATGCATGCAAACACCACAGGATCTTATTAACAGTATCATCAATTTCCAATGTATGC